TGAGCAATTTGTTGAGGATGATCATTTGGATCCCTTCACTTTGATTATTTTGTTAGAGACTCAGAGGGAGTTAGGAAATTAAGTTAGAGGAGTATTTATTAATTATTATTTTTTATTTAAAAATAATTTTATGAACTAAATTTAAGCACAAAAAATTACATATTCATTATTAATAGGAACAAATTAAATTCTATAATAGTGTAGAATAGCTTGGTACGGGATGGTGATGTAAATTTGTAATTTTAGCATAAAAAATTATGGATCAAAATTCTTAATTTTAGAAAGTAAAAACACATCATTTATAACACAAATTATTATAAAATCTATTTAGTTTTTATTTGACAGAAAAATATTAAAGAGATAAAATTGCTTATAAATGATGTGTTTTGCATGAAAATTATTATTAAACAGTTTTAGAATATCATATAGCATTGCCTACGTGATGCTTAATATATGAGAAATCACAAATCACACTAAGTGATTTGTTAACTACCTAAAAATAATGAGTTCATTATATCCAATCTATAAAAAATTTCACTATACTATTGATTTAAACTACTACATAAATAATATCGCATAGTGCTCTCAAAGTATCGAATAACTACTTATTGTGAACAATATAATAAATTCATAATCAAAAAACATGTTAAGAAAAAAAAAAGAATACATTTTATATATAATAACAACACATGCATGCATGCCAAAAAAACACAAAAAAAAAAAAAAACAAAAAACCAAAAAAAAAAAAAAAAATTCAAAACTGAAAGCGGCACGTGACCCCTGCCCTTCTTTCCCTCCGCCTCTGGTTAGAGATTAGCTAGTTATGAAATGATATGACTAGCCACGTATGTATAATCAATTTTGCCAAATAAAATTGTTTTAAGTAAATTTTTCTTGAGTTTGTCTTTATAAAGTCGATCTATCTGAGAAAAACACGATTATATCTACCAAGCCATTAACCTAACCTTATCCTAGTTAACTCCAAACGCATCAGACCTTGGTCTTATAAAGAAAAAGTTGAAGATTAGCCTTTAATATTAGGGAAAAAAAATGTTATCAATATTAACAATGGGTCTGAACGTTTGCCAACATTTTGTCTTTTAACACATCGAAATTCCAATTGATTTTCAATTTCCACAAGAACCATGCATTAGGGTTCCTCGAGACTTCATTTTTGACCTTTTTTTTCTAACCTTTCCCCTTTTAGCTCTTCCAACCCCAAAGTGTCCTCAAAATGCATTCACTTTTCAAACCATCCAACAGAAATTAAATAAATAAATAAATTTACCGTTTAGAAAATGAAAATGGTAAACTAGCAAAATTTTATTCTCAACCCAAAAAAAAAAAAAAAAAATCCTAATTTTTTAAAAAGTTATCAGCCTTAATTTGATTGTTTTAGTTCAAAATGGGGGAAAACAAACAAATTGATGATAAATATAAGCATAGTTAAGGTGTGAAATTAGAGTATCTCCACTCAAACTTTCAAATTTTAATATGTAATTTTTTTTTTTTGAAGATTTAGATGACGAATTGACATATATTAATTTGACATTTCTTAAAAAAAAACTCTCCACCCAATATGTTAAATTATTATTTTTTATTTTTTTAACCATTGAAATTCCAAAAACCTTATATACCGTTGCACTTCATTGTTTAAAGCAAAATACAGAAGACGGCATCAACTACACAACGTGAAATGCACATTACCTATGGTGTATTTGGTACACCGGGTGAAATTGCTCTCAATACTTTCTTTGTTTTAATAGAAAATATATTTTATTTCAAAACTTGCCCGAGTAGTTTTGTGATAATGCACCGTAAATTTAGATTCAGACCTTATTTGTCATAATCTAAAAAAATTAAAAAGTTATTATTTTGTTTAAGTCACATCATCTTATTTAAGTTACATTACTTCTCTATTACATTACTTCAAATCAAATTCATACCTAACTCATATTTTATAAAAATTCAAAAAATATATTTATTTAAAACATCCCAAACAACCCTTTAACTTCTTATGATGTTGCATTAGGTCTTAATTAATAGACGACGTATATGAATAATGCTGCATATTTGAAGTTTACTCCACTGGACTAGGTTCAATGTGAGCCCATCTTTGATGAAAAAAAGTAAAAAATATAAAAATATAAAAACACTTTTCATCAAAAGTGAGATGGTGATAACATCGCGGTGGTGGTGGTATTACAATAGTAGTGGAAATAATAAAAATGGTGATAGAAACAGTGACGACGAGACTATAGTGATAACCACAATGACAATGACTCAATTTGGGAAGAAAGTTATAAGTGGCGTTTTGGTTTTTTGTCAAAATGCAAAAAGTGATTTTTTTTGGTCATAAATTGATTTGGGATGTGAGTTATAAGCCAAAAGGAAAATTACAAAATTACCCTCCATAGATGGAAAATGAAAGGGTAAAAATGTGTAATTTTTCAATTGGCTAGGGATACTTTAGTCATTTCATTATGATTTGACATTATAAACAAATATTAATGAAAAAAAATCAAAAATCACTTTTTACCAACTTCCTAAATCATTTGTCTAAAAAAATCAAAAATTTAGTTAAAAGTCAAAAAGTCACTTTTTACTATCTTCCCAAAATAGGCCAATGTGGTGGCCACGTTCATTATAACATTATTATTTTGGTTTATCTTGTTAAGTTTATAAAACACTTTACAATTTTTAAAAAAGGTAAATTATACTGATAAAACTTTTAAAATTTCTGTTTAATTTAAATTCTCTTTTTATATTTAAAAAATTATACTTTTTATTGTCTGAATGAAATGATATTATCCTCACCTTTATACATATTAAATAATACAATAATATAGATATTTTTTTCATGTCATTTCAATTAGATTAACAATCATCTTCTTTGGTTTAACTTACACAAAAAATTGAGTTTTTTTTTTTATATTTTTATTAATTTTTTAAAATATTTTAAGCAATTTTTTTTGGGGACAAATTATACTAACGATCTCTATAGTTTTGGATGTGTCACTTTGATCCCTGACTTTTCAATTATGATACATTTGACCCTAAATTTTGAATCTTATTCCAAATAAGAATAATTGAAGATACCATTGATAATTTCAAGGGTAAAGTCGTCAATTTGATAAAATATAAACTAATTTGATAAAAATAAATGCCAAAAAAATATTTTTAAATTTTTAAAAATTATTTCTACCCACCAAAGATAAAATTATGTAAAATTGATAGGTCTTTATATATTTATTTATTTTACCAAATTAAATTTTATTATGCGTTTGGATGATGATCATGTAATTAGTGATTGCTTTTATTTTCAATAAATTACTTTCTATTTTTCTAAAAGTCAAATATGACGACAATTTTGATATTATTATTAAACCAATCCATTAAACCAAAAAATCTAAAACTAAAAATATTTCATATATTAAATATATTAATTACACATTAAAAGCCTAACAACCACACATTACATGATCATCATCTAAACACATAATAAAAATTAATTTGGTAAATAAATAAATAAATAAATGTGTAAAAGATTTATCAATTTTACATAATTTTATCTTTGGTAGATAAAATAATTTTTAAAAATTTAAAAATATTTTTTTGACATTTATTTTTGTCAAATTAGTTTATATTTTATCAAATTGACAATTTCGCAATGAAATTGAGCAATCGTATTTTTAATTGTCGTTATTTGGAATAAGATTCAAAATTCAGGATCAAATGCGTCACAATTGAAAAATTAAGGATCAAAGGGACAGAAGCCTCAAACTATAGGCACTGTCAGTGTAATTCATCATTTTTTTTTAGATACATCTAATCTAAATATACTTAAAGAGTACAATATTTTATAACTTTTTTAAACTTACCAAATACAAAAAATATAAAAATTCGGTACATTATCTTATTTAGTTGTATTCCATAGATATTTTTTTAAAATTCCTTGTACAAAAAAAATGAAAAATTCTATTCATATACAAAAACTTATACAAAAAATATCATAAAAATATTGTGATAGTGATATTATTGTAAATATAAATTATGTTTATGAGTATTTTTTTTAAAGTAAAAGGTCACTATTAAATTATATCATTGTATTTAAAAATTATACTATATAAAATTTATGTTTTATACCATTACTCAATAAAAATATATTTATATAAAATTCAATTATAAAATGTTATAAAATATAGTCATAATGATAAAAAAAAATAATAAGATGATTGTTTAAAAAATTTTAAGATATAAAATTAATAATTCAGAAACCAATTTATAATGTGATAAAAAAAATATATTTTTAAGATGATTGTTTAAAAAATTTTAAGATATAAAATTAATAATTCAGAAACCAATTTATAATGTGATAAAAAAATATAATTTTTTAAATGTGAATTAAAAAATCTATATAAACAGAAATCTCGCACAATATTTATAATGAGACATTTTCGCTCAAATCACACTGATTGAAAAAAACAAAAAAAAAGTACAAAACATTAAAATATATGAAAAAGGTTTCCCACTAAATCCATAGCTTTTAAATTTCTAAAACATTTTAAAATTTTATGGTACATTTTTTTAATTTTGCCACGCGGCATCATATGACTGGTGATTGGCATTCCATTTTTCAACTGCTATCCCGGCTGTTTCTCGGATCAAATAATTAGATACAGATAAGACAAACTACAAAGTCGCGTTACCTTTAAGACTTTATGAAGCCCATCGAGCCCAATAAGACCAGTGCGTAGATAGGACCCAAATCACGAGGCCCGACTGACATTCATCAATATCTGGACCCAAAATTGGGCCCCACCAAGGCCCTTCGGGATTCGCAAAACAAAGAAATATTTGTCCTAAGTGGGCCCCCCTACTTGTACCCTCCACCGCTCTCGCACTCATGTATCCCCCAAGCTCCATTCCTAACCGTCCGATCCAAATCTCTCTCTCTCTCTCACTATAACAGTAGAGATTCGCGGGGTCTGTTTCTCTCTCTTTCACTCTCTATCTCTCTCTCTCTCTCCATTTCTCTGTATCTGTGCAGGCTTCAAGTTTTCTTCTTCTTCGGCGCAAATACGAACGATTACCCCCCCCCTCTCTCTCTCTCTCTCTCCGTAATTCGTTTCTTTTGCGTTCAGTGTACGTTGTGCTTTGGTTCATTGTTGCATTGTAGCGACTCTGCGGCAATGTATCGAATCTTCATCGACATTGAGGAGCTTTTATCAATGCCTCTTGATTTCTTGCTGTATGTCTTCTCTAGCCTTCTCTCAATGCATAAACATATATCAATTTGTATATGAATGAATATGTATCTATTTATGTAGGTGAATGTGATTGTAGTTTCGTCATTTCCTGATTTCGGTTTAGATCTGTAAGTTTCTGGTTGAATGTGAATCGTACATGTTAATTTCAGAACTGTGTTGCGTATAGTCGCAATTGAGACAAGTTTTTCTTGGAATTTTCCTGAAATAGGCCAATGTTCTTGATCTTGCAGCAAATTTTGTCTGATATTCTCAAGATTTGTTTTTTGTGGTCTTTGTATGTAATTTCTATACATCGGTACAAGTATCTCTGTTTCTTCACCATCATTTCTTCACTATGGCGATGCAGCTGTGTCAATACTAACGCGTTTGTAAAATGCTCTTGTTTCTGAAGTATTTTTTGTACTGATTACATTATTCTCTTTTTTAGATGCGCTCCGCTGATGCTTTTTCCATTCTTAGTTCATTATGTAAAGTGACCTGCTTTAAAATAAAGTTTTCTGAAGCTTACTCAAACTGCAACACCTTACTTTTGTTCTCCCTGTAATGGATCTGCACATTCTGCTTTAGTGTTACCAAAAGACTGTAACAACCTAATTATTTATTGTTCCAAAAAAAAAAAAAAAACCTAATTATTTACATATTAGAATACGTGTTCAAAATTATGGTACACTTTCTTCCAAAATAGTAAATTTTGCGATTCAAAACAATCTCAGTTGTTTTTTTTTTTATCTCATTTTTTTTTTTTTTTTTTTTTTTTCAATTTATATTCTTAAATGTTTCCATTATAGAAAAGGAAATCAAATATGATGAACTGTGAGAATGGAGTTTAGAAAGGAAAAAATGTAAACATAGCAAATTTTGGAAACAATTTTGGAGTGTCTAGAAAAATGGAAGTGTTGGAAATGTGTTTTAAGGAAAAAATGTGTTTTAAACATAGCAAATTTAAGGAAAAATTGCTTATAGAAATGTGTTTTTTACATGATCAATTTAAAAATAATATATATACTTTATTTTATTGCATGTCTAATCATTAAAAGAAAATTGTTTATGTCTATTCGTGAAAAGAAAATTATTCTGGAAGTACCTTAAATTCCTCTCGTACCACATTTTAGAGTACATGGGTAGAATACCAAATTCCTATTCCTATTCCCGTTCACATTCCTGTTTTTCTTACCAAAATGATCCTTGTTCCAGGTAATATAGTTTTTTTGCCTTTATCACTCTGTTCCCCCAATGCTCAGTCGCTGGCAGGACATTGTGACTGGTGAACAACCAAAATATTATGTTTTTTATGCAGATCAATATGATTGTTAAACTTGAAACGTGTGACGTGATTTGTGCAGCTGGCCCATATAAATGGGATTAGTTGTCGTGGCAAGTTACAACTAATGCACTTTCATTGTAATTCTTGAGAAAATTGCATAACACATTAACCAAGTTGTCTGTCCAAGTGTAATAGACACCAGGTGTGATCTTTCTGATGGGTGTCTTCATAAATGTGTTGAAATGTTTGCTAAGGCCATTCTAGTTGCTTCTGTTTGCTGCAAATTATAGTTCCCAAATTTTATGAATTGTCACTTCTAGGCAGAGACAAATCATGCTACTGTGAAGTCTGCTTGTTCTTACAACTTATAATGGAATATGGAGTCCTCCTGGTTGCATAATTGATGTATGCTCTGAAATTCTTTCTTTGTTTTTACAAATCATTGGCTGTTAGTCTTTAGAAAATTTAGTCCATCCTTCTTTCTTTCTATTTTTTACCCAAGCATGAGCAACTATCATGTGATTTTTTTTCAGGATATGATTATTGAGGCGGAATGACTTATAACGTGTCTTATACCATGTTTTAGCAGCTAACATACAAGTGAATGAGGCTTGATATGTCAAATGAAATTTGATACCTTGCCAATCAAGATGCAATCAAGTAATCAGTACTCAAGACCTGCTGGGAACATGGGGTTCAGTTTAGAAGTCAAAAGGAGTTCAAAGTCACAAGAAACCTCGAAAGTTGTGAAGCAGAAGATCCTATCACCCCAAGCAAATCAAATTATGAAGTCTCGAGACAAGCATAAAATGGAAAGTCCATTTGGTCAACGTTACCTTGATCAACAACATGAATTAAAATGGAGGACAGGTGACAGGCTCATATTCCAGTCAAACTCTTCAAAGAACTTTCAAGAGCCTTTAATTGGGAAGCAGGCAAATAAAAATGATGAGCTCGTTAAGCACATGTCAAATTTACCTGGCTATCTCCAGCGAGTGGAGAAAGGAGAAAATCACCAGGAGAATGCCTTAAATTTTGGAGTTCTAGATTGGGAGCGTCTAGAAAAATGGAAGTACAAAAAACCATCCCTAGCAAGAGGTAACACTTCCTCTGGCAGTAATTCCTCGTTTAAGGCAGGCGGGTCGGTTACACTATCCACTCTTGTTCAGAGCAAGAGTCTTGCTCCTAACAAGAAGCTACCCCCTTCACATCATCCTCATGTTAAACCATCTCTTCAAGGCAGTTTTTCTCAAGTTGTTAAACAGTCACGACGGAAGGTCATACAACAAGGTTTTGAAAATGCTTCAAGGAACACCACGGATAGGCAGCGAAACCCTCACCAGACAGATAAGTCTTCTGGCAGAAATCGTTCTGAGATAAAGTTTGACAGGGGCAAGAGAAAAGATTCAGATCAAAAGATCACATCAGAAAAGGAAACTTCGTTGTCAGGCGTGAGAAAACGTGAATGCTCACACCCTTCAAAGAACAAGAAAAGTGCTCAGAACAGTTTAGTAACCAATAAAGTAGAGGAGTTGCAAGCATCAGGATATTATCTCGATCAAAAACACTGCCCTGTTGAGCACAAAAGCATTATTCTCCTTTTACCCAAACACTCTCCCAGAAAAAGTCACTCAGAGATGGTTCAGACTTCTGAACCCAGAACATCAGTTGATGGAAAACCGAGGGAAGCAAATTGGGAGAGCTTTTCAGATGGTTTTTCTGGAAAAAGTTTCTCAGAGGTTGTTCAAACTTCTGAACCTGAAACATCACTTGCTGGAAAACCGAGGGAATCAAATTGGGAGAGCTTTTCAGATGGATTTTCTTCTGAGGAGGTTCTCTCTGCAGAACTCTGTTCTGAGATTCCGCAGTCTTGCCCACTGCCTATTGGAGTAGAGACAAGCTCTCAGCTTGGCATAATGCCACATAGCTTGATCCATGCTCAGAGCATAGGCCTTTCAAATGATGCTTCTTGCACATTCCTGTTTTCAAATGAAACTCCAACCATACCATTCGAAGGTAAATGCATATATGAGAATGCATCAGGTGTGAAGCCTTCAAGTGAAAATGGAATTGATAATTCCAAGAGATTGGATCATGAAACTACTGAACCTGCAGCTATGAAAGGAAGGCACTCCGCACCCAATCATCGGTTTAGCTTTAGCCTTGGTAGAATCAGCAGAAGTTTGAGTTTTATGGAGAGCTCAGCTGATCCACAGTTGAATTCCACGTATCCTACTGTCAAGCCTGGTCTTGTGAGATCGGAAGCATCTGATTGCTTTTCTTATGAGGAAGTTCACTCTCCAGAGATTACTCACACTTGCCAACTTCCTGTTGGAGTGGAGACAAACACCGAGTCTGACAAGAAGCGCCATAGGTTAACCAGTGATCAGAGCACAGAACTTTCTTCCGATGCACCGTGCATGTTCACTTGTCCAAATGAAACACCAAACACACCATCAAATGCAAATGCAATTAGGGCTTCCAGGAGATTGGATCAAGAATCTACTGAACTGGAATCTGTGAAAGGAAGGCATCCATCACTAAATGGTCGCTTTAACTTTAGCCTTGGTAGGATGAACAGAAGTTCCAGTTCTAAGGCAGGTTTGACTGCTCCACAGTTGAGTTCTACATATGCTACTGTAAAGTCTGGTCCAGTGGGATCCGAAGTGTCTGATTCTTTGGACAATGCAAACAGAACCAAGGCTAGTATTCATAGTAGATCCAGGTCCAGCCCTCTAAGAAGGTTACTACTAGACCCTCTATTGAAGGCCAGGGTAACGAATCCACACCATTCTGCTGAGACCATTCAGTCAATGACAGCAAGTTTGAATTGGACTTCCGAAGTTATCAGCAGTACTGAATCCCCGCAGGACAAGATGCATGATGCATCAACGGTTCATGCTCTTCTGCAACTTACAATTAAGAATGGACTCCCTTTGTTCAAACTCATTGTCAACAACAACAATATTCTCATTGCCATGAAAAAAGTAACTCAATCTGGCAAGGATGATACTAGCTCGATTTACACATTCTACTCTGTTCGTGAAATTAAGAAGAGTAGTAGCTGGATAAATCATGGGCATAAAGGAAAAAGTTGTGGCTTTGGCTATAACATCGTTGGTCAGATGAACATTTTCAGCTCTCATTTTCCAGATTTGACCGTACAGATTTCCAAGGGCCAATTCATAATGAGAGAATCTGTTCTGTATGGTGTCGATCTTAGACAGGCAGATCTGGAAATACCTGAGTTAGTGCCAAACATGGAGCTTGCAGCCGTCATTGTCAAGATCCCAATTGGGGATTCAAGTGATGATGGAGATCAGAGAAATAAAGGCAAAGAGTTCTCACTGGAAGATATAAAAGGAGAAACCAAGAAGTTCAATAGTACAGAAGTCATTCTTCCTGTTGGTGTTCACGGCTTGCCTAATAAAGGAGCTCCTTCACCATTGATTGAAAGATGGAAATCTGGTGGGTCATGCGACTGTGGAGGTTGGGACGTTGGTTGCAAGTTTCAAATTCTCACCAATGAGGATCGCAGCTGCAAGCTGCCAGGACCATCCATATCTTGCTCAAACCCGGATCATTTCAGTCTTTTCAATCAGGTAGTGCTTTTATTTTTCAGATGAGTACCGTCTCTCTGCCTCTAAGATACTCATTATTCAGTTGATAATTTATGTTCTGCACAGGGAGGAGCCCGTGGCAATACACCAATCTTCAGCCTGGCACCATTCAAGAAGGGGATTTATTCTGTGGAATTCAGTGCATCAATTTCTTTGTTACAAGCGTTCTCAGTTTGCGTTGCAGTCATAACTAGTCAGAAATCATTTGATTTCTCAGAAGTGAATAACCTGTGTGACGCAAAGCTTCTCTGGGAATCCACATTGACTCCCGCCAAAGTCCAAGGGGAAGTACCCACAAAATATGTGTTTTCGCCACCCCCATCACCTGTTGGAAGAGTCTAGTTCTATGAAAATAGCAAAAGAAACAGCAAGTGTACACCTCAAAGAGGTGGGTCTTGTTAACAATAAATTGACGGGTAGCGCAGCGAATTTGGAGGATGACATCGAACATCTCTGGCATTTTAATGTTTTTGTAATGGTGGTTCTGCTTTTTTGTAGTGTCATCAGTTTCTGTATATGGGGAATTTTAGATGTATTTCATTCACAAGTATGCAGTTCTAAGAAAGTAAAACATGGTCTTGGTGAGAAACAACACTTTCATCTTATCTTGATTGACATCGTCTACCACCCTAAATGGGAAAGTCCAGCATTCAAATACGGTTAGGACTGTATTTTGCACAACAGGTACATATTTTTTCTCACACATACCGGTGAGCCCCATAGATGCGGGTGTGGGGTATGCGACTGTAGTGTATCTGTTATACATAGGACATGAATGTGTGAAACCAGAAGGGATGCTACTGTAGTGTATCTGTTATACATAGGACATGAGTTAGGGATGGCAATTAAATCCAAAAAAACCCAATGGAGACTCACCCTGCCCCCCTATTACTAGAGTGGATTTCTCCAAAATTTCCCCCCTTGGGCCGGATATAACATTGATTGGTGAATCTCCGATTTTTTTGAGGCTAGGTTGGTGAATATCCAATGGTGAAAAATTTACCCCTTGTCTCCAGGTCAAGGTAAAAACAAAAGAGTTTCCGTGACACACTATGGTCCTGTTTGGGAGAGCTATGGAAAAGTGCTTATAACTTATGCCTAAACAGTTTATAGCTTATAACTATGAATATAAGTTGATTTCTGACTTATAAATTAAGCATCTCCTACCCTACTCAAAGAATAAGTTGATTTCTGATTTCTAAAAAGTTATAAGCTATAAGTTAAACTAAACACATCAAAATAGTCTAAATTAAGCTGAAAGGTAAAATAAGTAGCTTTTAAGCTGCACCAAACAGGCACTATACCTGATGAGGTTATGATGAAGCTGAGGTTGAAAAGTGCTTATAACTTATGCCTAAACAGCTTATAGCTTATAACTATGAATATAAGCTGATTTCTGACTTATAAATTAAGCATCTCCTGCCCCACTCAAAGAATAAGTTGATTTCTGACTTCCAAAAAGTTATAAGCTATAAGTTAAACTAAACACATCAAAATATTCTAAATTAAGTTGAAAGGTAAAATAAGTAGCTTTTAAGTTGCACCAAACAGGCACTATACCTGATGAGGCTATGATGAAGCTGAGGTTATGATGAAGCTGCTAGCCAACTATGCAATCCCAAACTATTGGTTCTTTATCCTAAAATAATATATATATATACTATTGCTATTTTTATACTACACACATATATATATATATATATATGAATGATAAGTTATCAATTTGTGCTTCTAAATTTAATTATATTTTCAATGTGATTATTAAACTTTTAATCCTTCACAATTTTAAGTGTAAATCTCATATTTTTAATTTTTTATTTATATATGCCTTTCAACTTTTGTAATTAAGTCAATGTAGTCCAATTTATAACTAAATATAGGAAAATAATAATAATTCTTTTATGTTATGCTTCCTAATTTACAAAATCTAGAATTAAAAATAAATAAATAAAAATCACGAATAGTTTCATGTAAAATGTTTACCTATTCAGGGTAAATTGTTATTATTATTATTATTATTACTACTACTATGAACTATTTTTATTAAAGTTTTTTTTTTTGGACATAAACATCTTTTTTTAAAAATATTCTATTAATTTTTTATTATTTGGTTGAACAAAATATGAGTAAAAATGTTTTTCATTATAGTTTCAAAAACTACTTGACAATAAAAATTATGTAATCAAACTTTTTCAGCGCATTTGACTTTTCAAATAGGCATTCATACAATATAAAATTATCGTTTCAATTATGAACTAAACGTCGAAAAACAAATACAAAATATTTTTTGTGTGTAAAATCAATTTATATGAAAAATATTTTATATCAAAACAAATGGAACCTAAATCAACTTTTCTTGGTGTAAAAGTAGAAAATTATCTAATAGGATCTACACTATTTTTAGTTAATTTTAATTAATATTTTCTTGGTATGAGATTCTTTCAATAATTTGAAAGTTATTTCTTTCTTTTAATTGATTTTTCCTTTCTCTCTTACTTTCCTTCTTAATTTTGTTTGTTTGTTTTTATTGAACCGAAGCATTACTTGATCTAAAGAAGGAAAAAAAAAAACTGAAGCAGTATAAAAAAAATAAAATAAAACAGTATAGTTTTTTTTTAAAAAAAATTTATTATTTTTAGATTGTATTTGGTTCATGAATTTGACAAGAGATTTAAAAAAAATGTGTATTAAATCTATCAAAATCTGTCTTCAAATTCATAAATCAAACACAATTTAATCAATTTGTCTCTTTCACTCACTTTTTTCAATTCTTAATTTGTTGCTTTTATTTTGTTTATATTAATGCAGATATACCAAAAGCAAAGCAATGAAGCAAAGCAAATGGGGTGGGGATGTTAGGGGCGGAGAAAACCGATTCCCATGAGGGGCAGGGGTGGTAGTAAGAAATTGGTTATCGTTGGGGATTGGGGATAGAAGATGGGGAAAAATAAAAATTGAGGATTGGGGATGGAGAGGGTAAAACCCTCTCTACCCACCTCATAGCCATCCCTAACATGAATGTGTGAAACCAAAAAGGAATATGAAGACCTTATTTAGTTTTGACATCAAGTCTACATATATAATTGGAAATACGACTTAAATAAAATAATGATTATGTTACACAATTTATATGGGATTTGGAGGTTTCAAAATACCATACTTTAATTTCATCTGAAAATTAGAAGTCTATTCTATAATTTGCACTCTCAACTCCCAAGTAGAGAACCTTCCAAACTCAAGGTTGAAATCCAAATCCAAGCTTTACGTTGATTTATTTGGGTAAAAATTTGAAAAAGTGTAACATGCACTCCCAAGTAGTGAACCTTCCAAACTCATGATTGAAATCCAAATCCAAGCTCTACCTTGATTTATTTGGATAAAAATTTAGAAATGGCAAAAAGGAAAAGTGACAAGGATCCTTGAATTTGGGCTTTTTGCATGGCCTAGCTATGCTTACAATTGGGTCTTCAATTCCCCCCACCCCTATACAAGAGTCATTCTATTTGAATTCCAAAATTATCTCTCTACGTCTAACTTAAATTTTTAAATTTAAATTTTTATTATATTTAATATAAATTTACTAATAAAGACATTATATATATTAAATATTAAAATAAAATATTTTTTTTCATGATACTTTCTAATTAATTATATGTCTTCTTATTCAAATCTCTTCATCTTTTTCTCCAAGTTTCAATTATTTTCTTTTCTTTTTCACTCCAAAACTTCAATCCACTCCGCCAAAACACACCACTATTATCAACATCATTATTTTTTATTATATTATTAGTTGCACTTAAAAAACCCGCAACCTTCAATGAACATTTGTTTATATATATGTATATCTCAATATATATACATTGTCTTCATTTATCAAACTCAAGCTTCAAATTTCACTTATTTCGATATACATCAACCCGAAATTTGTGTTTCTATTTCTCATTTTACTAAATCATGAATTTTGTTAATTCTAATCATGTGGATTAATAGTCCAATCACGCCATTAGTGTAAAATCGCAATCTTTTGGGGGTATATTACGCAAATTAGGTTGAATATAATGAACATATATGTATATATCAAAATCAAGCTTTAATTTTGACTGATTTCGGCTAATATCCATTACGTTGATTATCTGAAAAAAATAATATGTATTCGATTAATAACAAAACAAGTCACTAATCCTAAGCTCGAAAGAAAAGTTTTTCAAAACTAATTTGAATTTTTTAATTTATTTTATTTGGGCGTACTTCAAAGGATAATTTGGAGAGAAAAAAATTGTTTGGGGTGAACTACAATAGCATATTTTTTTTCTTTTTATCTTTTTTGGGTCAGATCATCTCTCTACTTTTCTATATATTTTTTCGTAAAAAAATCAAAAAGTACACTCAATTAGATCATTTGAAACAATTAGACTTATTTAAATATTTTTTGAGTGTAAATAGAATTCCCCCTTATACATCCTTTCCCCTTAGCCTACTAAGTTTTTTCATGTATCCAAATTAAATAAATAAATAGTGAATAAATAAAATTGATCACTATTGTACTATCGATTACTGAATGTTTACCTTTGACCAAAAAAATTCTAAAGAATATTTTGAATAATTGTTCAAAGAATTGTCATTCACATGAATTTGTTTATTAAAGATGACGGGTGGAATAGTTGGAAGGAATATTAGATTTTAATATTAATGGGAATTTTGCTTTTGAGAAAAATTAGTGGATGGAGATGCACTAATGGAGCTGTATCAGACTCAAGAATCTGTAGCTGCACTTAGAGCAAGATTACAAGGTATTTGTTGAGGAAAAGGAAAATAAAGGAGAAAATTGAATGAAACAAAAATTAAATTTATATTAGTTTTCCTTTTTTATCCACAATTCAAAGATTCAAACATAATTAAAAAATAAAAATTAGAGCCCTAATCAAAGTTCTGGTGGCATACTTGTCATTTTTATTAACAATACTTACATACTCTCAAAAAAATAAATTACAAATATACTTCTTAAAATTTATTTGAAATACTTGTTTTGCAAAATCATTTTTTCCTGTTCAAAACGTTACGAACACTTAATAACAGGGTCATATTGTAATAAAATTAAAAATTAAAAATTAAAAATTTAAATTGTTTAAATTAAGATTATGAGAAACATAATTTACTTAAAAATAGAAATATAAATGCTATGGTATAGCCCATGTGCGTATAAAATTGCTGCACCTGCTAACCGACCTTTACAGTGCAGGGGCATGCATGACCTCTACATACATATATGCAAACATATAGGCGTCCAATTTTTTTGAACGAGATAGGTGTCCAATTGGATTCTCGTATTATTGGACCTTTTGTCAAGTCCTTTTTAAATTAATTTCAACAAGAGATAGTCAAGTCGATTTTCCAAGATCTTGACCAAGTAATCCGAGACATGATATTGATTGAAATCTCACACATATATATAAAATATTTGTTTA